GAGATGTCGTTTCGACGACATTGATTGATCAATGTGTTAAAACGATCATAAGTTTTCTGTATTGGTTCATCAGGGAGGGCCTTGAAATTAGTATATTCGTTAAGACATTGTGCTCTATGATTTTTTCTTTTTTTGCTCATCCTTCCAGTTGGCTTGCCAGTTCATCCCATAGTTCCTTGGCTGTGGAACATGCGTCGAGGGATTGGAATATTTTGTTGGGAATTGCCATGATTATCAATATTTTGGCCTTTTTGTCTGTTTCTACTCTTTCCTTGTCATCTTCATCCCAATTCTTCTCATCCTTGGGTATGTAGTAGTGATACGTACCAAGTATTTAGTACGTAAAGTACCTTTTTATTCTCTTTTAGATAGGTTATTTTCTATTCATATCCCAACTTTGAGTCATTTTATCTCTTTTATCTDTTTTTATGCTAAGAAGAATGATGAACCTGTTTTTAGTGGATTTTGGTCTAAATTGATCTTATTTTGGACAGATTGGAGCAGGATGATGCTGTAGAAATGTGGTAGCATGACCTGATGGCTGATAGAGAGATGGATGAGACTTAGAAGTGATTGACATGATTTTGGAAGACATATGAAAGACTTCTAAAGTTGAACCAGCTGTATTTTGATCAGATTAGCTGGAGCATTACAAGACTAATTATAGTTGCTTTCTAAATATTAGTTTACCTTATTGTACCATTAGTTTACTTTAGTGTASTTTCTAGTTTCTTTAGAACTAGGAGTGTGTGAATTGTCTATTTTGCCCCCATGTAATCCTTAGTATAAATAGGGGTTGTTGGGARGAGTTTAAGACACACCTCACTACCACACCACTCCATATTCTCTCTTGTTTCTCTCAAGTAGGTTGACATCCTACTTGAAGAACAAATTTTCTAATATTACAAAGTTTTTTGGCATTTCAAGTTCTTTAATCGCTTTCCATTTACTTGCTTTATTTAATCGCTTTATTTATATTCCGTCTTTAATTTATTTACGCTAACTTGCATTTTATTTCCGTCATTTATTTATTACGCTTTCCGCATCTTTATTATTCCGTCATTTATATTCCGTATTTACTTTCCGCAATTACATTATGTCTTTACTTATCGCAATTTATATTTATCGTTATTTACTTTTCGTCATGAGTAGCTAATTTTGTTAGCTCGGGTGTATGACGAAATGGGTGAGTTTTTAAAACCAAAATATAGTCGACCCTTTCATGTAACAACGATGTTTTACTTTTTCATTTCAAGTTTTATAAAACCAATGACACTTCTTGACGAGTTGATCACTTTGAAAGTGTTAAAGTGCCGTGGACTCTAAGCTGAGCCATTGTTTGCACGTCAACTTGGATGATATGGGAAGTAGACTTGAGAGAGTTGCTAACAAAGAGATTTGTTGTCCGTATTTTCTAATTTGTTAATTCTCRACGGGTTGATCACTCTGAAGTGTTAAAGTGGAATGGATTCAGAGATGAACCATTCAGAACACGTCAACTTGAATGATATGGGAATCCACTCGAGAGGGTGATTTTTAACAAAGAGATTTGTTTGTCCATATACTTTAAACACACCATTTGTCACTTTCACTGGTCTGGATACCTCATAGAGATATGGGTTGAAAGCTATAATATCAGTGCATTGGTGAAGTCCGAGAGGAATACCTTCAAAGTAATTGGTAAAAATAGTTGTTACTGATTGCATGCTGTAGCAATCTGTCAGCATGGTTTCATGTTGTAGCATTTTGACAGCATTGGTCGACTGAAAATAATTTTTACTTCTCACCCTAAAAGTCATACACCCTAGCTTGCTTTATATTCTGTTATCTCCTGTTTTTAGTTGTGTTAACTCTGTTCTAATCAAAGTCTTCGAATTCGCCTTCTGAAATCATTTCCTTAACTTTACTTTCTTTTAAACTTTTACTACGATCCCTGTGGACGATATCCGATACTTGTACCACTTTTATTACTTGAAAAACGATATTGGGACTATTTGTATACTTGCTTTTGGTTCTAATTGTTGTTTGTGTTTGTGTTTTCCACGACCCATCAAGTAGGCAGGAATTTCAGCCGGGGTAGTTGTTCCTGGAACTCTTGGAACAAGAGTTTGTGGAATGTAAGGACCCTCCATTACAGATCGAAGAAGGTTCTTGTCCATTCCTTCCAAGAAGTT